TAAATATTTATTTTATTACAGATCTATATGCGACCGTTTTAATGTCGGAAAAGCTACTGGTCTGCGCATAGTTAGGCGTGTTATAAATGGTCTTGTTAGTCTTCGAGAGCAATTTATAACATGGCCAACAGAAGACGAGGCAATTGAATCTATTGCAGCATTTCAGCGGCAAAGAGGGTTCCCAAATGTTATTGGAGCAATAGATGGAACCCACATTGTAATAGATACTCCAAACAACCCTGAAGCATACATTAATAGAAAGGGCACTCATTCTATTCAGTTACAGGTACCATTTTATTTAATTTCTTATACATATATGTGTATATAAAAAAATAGAAATACTGATTATAACGTGTAATCTATTAAAATTGCAGGTGGTTTGTAAGCATAACTTACAATTTATTCATTGTTTTGTCGGCTATCCTGGATCTGTACATGACCAAAGGATTTTTCGACTCTCAAATATACAAGGTTTTTTTAATAACCCTTTAAAATTTCCCAATGATAGTCATGTAATAGGAGATGCAGCTTATAAAATTCAACAGCACTTGTTAGTACCATTTAAACATAATGGACGATTAACAGAAAAGCAACGAAATTTTAACTATTGCTTATCTTCGACTCGAATGGCAGTAGAACGTTCAATTGGGCTGCTGAAAGGACGATTTAGGATATTGCTAGACAAACTTCATGTTAGACGAACTGACCTTATTCCTAATTATATAATGGCGTGTTGTGTATTGCACAATTTATGTATAATGAGAAATGATATAATTGATGATATTCCGATATTTGTTGAAAACAATGACATACAAAATGTAGGAAACGGAGATGACGATATCAATCGGGAATTACATGTTGAAGGTATACGGAAAAGAGAACGAATACAAAATGCTCTCGATATTCAGCTACCGCTCATTCGATTAGTATAACTGCTCATTATTAACTGTATATCGTTGTACTTATAGAAATTAGATGTGAACGTAAAATAAAATGTAAAATAAAATACGTATACATTTCAAGCAATAATAATATTATATTTGTATAATATATAATAAAAAAACTGTAGTAAAAAAATAAACTGCAAACTCATAGAATTTTTTTGTATATATTTTATTCATACAAAATTAAATACATATTTGGAACTTATTTGGCACCTCGTAATCACAGTAATTTTACTCAATCACTTAAATGTTATAATTCTACTTCTGTTACATTTAAATGTTAGTAATGTTATAATTTTGTGAACCTTCACATAAATGCGCAAATCTGAACTTAAGAAACATTGATCGTGTCGATCTATATTAAAAACAAAATTAAGATATATGTGGCAATGAACAAAACCTTACTAGCTCCTATTATTTAATACTTTGTAGGTCTTACTAACATTATGAGTATCACATTTTCTAAATACTGAAATTAATTATTAACGTTATCAGTCTTAATGCAGTAAAATTTAATATCTTATTATATATTTAATATATATGTGGCAATAAACAAAACCGTACTAGCTCTTATATTATTTAATACTTTGTAGGTTTTACTAACAGTATGATCAGTATCACAGATCGGAAGAGC